GTTTAATTGACAGCGGAGAAGACCTAACAGATATTTTAAGTTTGGAAGAACGATCTCTATTGGATGCAGTTATCACCACTACAAGTCTATCTGATGTAAACAAACTGATGAACGAAAACACAACTATTGTCGATAAGATTCTCAAACTTTATCTGAATAAGTAGTTGGTGGAACTAACTACCTGTACTAGAACACCATTAACGTGCAACTGTTATACAATGATTTATGTACCCAATCTTACTCTTGATGATTTCAATTTATGATTATAATGTTGACAACAACAAATTATCAATTAAACGGTAGTTTTATTTGTCTCTCGAAATTTATCAAATTTATAACAAGCAAATTTAATAGTTAATAATAGTGAATGGTATGGAGCCTTAGCTACTCCCTAGACTCGACTTTGAACCCTGAACCTTTTGTGCAGAAGACGGATGTTCTAACCACTAGGCTACCTAACAGTTGTTATATCTTAAAGGGTGAAAATGTGGTTCAGATACTGTAGCTATTGCTTAAATGTCAGAAAATTGATGATAAGACTTGTAATTTCCAGGAGGTCGAGCGATGGTAACCCTACACCACATTTCGTTATGTCACCCTCTGCTTATTTGGAGTGGTGACTGGACCGGGGTAAATCGTGAAGAATCATTTGACCAGTAATCAAGTGACAGGAGCCTGCTTTTTTTTTTTTTTTTTTTTTTTTTTTTTTTTTTTTTTATTTTTTTATTTTTTTTTATAAAATGCAACCTACTAAAACCAATGGGGCCCTCCCCGGGGTCATTACTCTCGCATTTGCGAGAGTCGTCCCTAAGGTGTGAAAGTAGGTCAAGATTTGTTCACACCAAGCCCTAGCATCGCTATTTGCTGACCATCTGCCTTCACTGAAGGTATGTTTTTAGAGAGTGGAGGCCGACCGTCAGCTTGGGATGCAGGGCCAAGTTGTCAACAACGTCAAGGCCCCCTTCCACATAGGCCATGTTGGTTTTGGCAGATACTGTGGTAATAAGATATGAAGTGAATGAGTGAAATGAAGTGATTGAAAAGGGTGTAAAAGAGGAAGAGCTTGTAAGGTAGTTTAGGAATGGAAGGAAGCAGGGCATGTACTACAAAAAAACAGTTAGTAGTACTGTAGGATAGTAACAATAACCATTGATAATAAATAACAAAGACAGCAATATAAATGGGGTGGACAATTTGCCCTAATCGGCCAAGATCGACACAATAGAACTTTTGTGGCCTATTTTGTCACCAGTAAGTGAAAGTTTAAGAAGTTTGATATATCCCTGCCAGATCGGCATGTCCCCTGCCTGAAATCTTTTGCTAATGTACCATTTGGCAACAATATTAAAATAATTTATAATTTGTGAAGTGTGATTACAAACTATAAAATTAATTTTATTGGGGTCTTTGTAATTTCTATCGATTTTCCTTTTTATAAAGTCTTCAAGTATTGTGATGAAGCTATTTGTGTGGATACAATGGAGATAGATATGAGGGATTGTTTCTAAGTATGTGTTACACAGGCTACACATGGGAGTATCTGTAACAATTTTCATTTTGTGTCTCATGTATCTACACGTCGTGATCCTCATTAAAAGCTTGTACTGAAATTGAATCAACTTAAAATTTTTAGATACTAAGAAAAATAGGTTGCTAAGAACGACCGCCCAATCTATTGGTTGATTATTTAGGTCAATAACCCATTGACGTAATGGGGACAGCTCGTTTGGGCAGATAGAGTCGTACATTTTATCCCGAATTTTACTTCCCTTCACCTGTCCAGTTACAGAATGTAAAAATTTAAGTTTTATATTTGAGTCAACAAACTCAATATTCCTTGAGTTAATAGTGGGGCAGTTATATCTCCGTATCCCCATGATAATGTTACAGTACTCAGTTTTGGAAATAGTATTTGGAGACAACTCCCACTTGTTAATGAACATATCGTAGTTAAGGATTGTACTTTGGTCTATAGAAAGAAAATCTGAGATGTGAAATATTCCCTTATCAATCAGATGATTGTTCCAAAGTTTGGCCCCGATGTCGGTTATTGCTTGGTTGTACCACACGCAGTGATCAATAGAACCCAAGGCTGCATTTACCGAACTTATCTTCCACTCAGTGTAACAATTAAGGACGTCTTGAGTAAAATGGCAGTTGGTTTTAGCGAGACCGTTTTCTACGGAGATGGTGATATGGTCAGGAAATTTCAGCTGCATAATCATAATATCTTTCCAAGTGTGGTGAAAGGAATTATTTAGTAGCTTGGATATGAGGCTGGTTTTAAGACCTATAATAAAATCAGATAAATAAAAAAGTCCCAGGCCTCCATGTTCCTTATTTCGGGTAATAATCTCACGTTTTACTTTATCCTTATAACAGGAGCCTGCTTGGCAGCCGTTTAATCAGACTTTAGATCCTTTAGACAGGATTATTGAATTATTCATCATGACGTTCTGACGGGTAATCAAGTGACTCCTGTCATGTGATCTTGAGGTTCAAATAACATTCATGTCACATGATGCTTAAGCTAAACACGTGACCGGTAATCAAATAACAGGAACCTGCTTGGCAACCGTTTAATCAGACTTTAGATCCTTTAGTCGGGATTATTGATTGATTCGTCATGACGTTCTGGCTCCTCATTGGTCAATCAAATGTCACGTGACCTTGACATTTAATTAACGAGCTTGTCACGTGGTTACATGACATGTGATCTGTCACGTGACCCTTGTGACGTGCTGTCACGTGACCTGAGGGCGTGCTGTGAGTGGCTGGGGGCTACTTGATGGCGGGCCTTCACACATTCCCATCTACTCACACCCTTAAGTTTTATGCCGGCTAGATTTTATATCCACCCGTATTCTTGATGTTCACGCGACGAGGTCCCTTAACTGTATCAACAGGTTCAGAAGGAGATTACAAATTATAATATTGCGTATTATTTGCAGATTTAAACCCTTCATAGTCTTTCACTTAGAAGATTGTTTGCACTATGGTACCAAAAAACCCAAGTTAAGCCCTAAAGCTCGCCATAAAACTACACAGGCTAAGCCATAGGAGTAAAGTTTGAATTTAAACTAGAACTTCATTCCCGCATCCCGATATCTAATTCTAAGCCATAAAGGCAATCGAAATTCGAAAACATAATTTCGTCACTGCCAGACTTCCAAATTATATTGCATATGTTTCTCGGAAATGATATATAGGCTCATAAAAAGTAATTCTCTCCCTCGAAGTAATTTGCTGCCGTTTAACTAAGAATTTAGCGGCGACAAGATAATGGTTAAAAAAATGGCTGATTATTCACAGAAGAGCAATTTTAAAAGACATTTAGAACGAAAGACGCGTCCATTCGTCCAACTCATAGTTTATTTATTCAAACTTTAGTGTAACTAGCAGGAACCCGTATAACCCTAAAATGGTGTCAAGACTCAAGAGACTAAAATAATTATTACCTATTTAATTCGCGTTTTTGACACCACTTGGGGGTCCAAATTTTGGGCTCTAAAACTCCTATTCCTTGGCCAATTTTTTATTTTTTCATGCTGATTTGAAAAGCATAAAAGCATTTGACCCAGTCAAAAAAGTTTCAGTTGTATATCTTTTACGGTTTTTGCGGAAAGTCGCGTTAAAGTTGATGCCGTGGTGTCAGTAAAATGGCACAGATATATATATATATATATATCGTCTCGCTTTATATATAGTAAGATTGCAGCTTTCCTGACGAGCGTTTTCAAATTTATGTTCAGCAGAAGTTTATCAATGCAATAGGCAAATGATACCATTGATATTTCACTTTAAATGAACCACAATTTGGCTAATATTTCAAACGATAGTTAAAGCTATAAGAGGCCCAGTATGATGTTATAAAGGGGTATTTAGTTTCAAGATAGCTGCAGCGGAGCGGGGCTTCCGAAGTACAACCTCATAGAATATGTTTTGAAACCACTATTCGACTCCAGGGACTGAATCATAAGTTATACTATTGGCTGGTTATTATCGTCACACGTTAAAAATGAAGTCAATACCCCTATAAGTATACTTCTATAGTTTCATGCAAAAGATTGCACCACCGTTCGATTTAACTTGGTAACTTTAACATTTTATATTCTCAGAAATAGAAGCGGTTTGTCTCCCATTAATATTATAAGGACTTATACGGACTCCACCCGTACTACCAAATTATAATGCAGTCAGGGTTTTATCATATAAAAGCTCTTGCTCTTCGAAATGAGGCCTATGAGAGCACTTCGAGTTCATGGTTCTTTTGCTCTTTTGCTTGACGTTTACAACCTTCTGATATCCTGACATCTAACCATCCCTCCTACTCATGATTCCTAATTCCTTCCTCGTATTACCCTAAATAGAGGTGAATCGTGAGCAAACGTGAGAACGTGACGTAACTTGTCACTATAAAAGCTAAAATAATTCGGGCAGATATGAGATGTGGCCATTGCGAACATTTGATCCCCTTGGTGCACAAGTAACGTTTCGCATTATATGTTATATTTATAGTACAGGCTTGGGGCCATCAGTCACTGTGCCAACGTTTGGGCTTATATTTATAAATTAGTAATTTTTCATGTTTGAGACTTGTAACTTTACAGATGGCATACTGTTATTAATATTATACTCATTCAGAGAATTTGTCGCTAAAAGGGCTTCCCTGCAGTTGAGGGCCACGATATTTTAATATTCAACGCAGTAAATTGTTATACCCGTTCTGGGTAACATGCTAGAAACTTCATATGGGTAATAGGTCCATATTGCAATAGGTCATTAGGTGTTGCAAATGATCTGAAAATTTTATTCGATCTTTTCAATTTACCAAAACGAGTCCTTTATATTATGAGTCCAGGGTGTGAACTGGCTGCACCTGGGTTAAGCACTTTCATCAGCTGTTTTTTTTTAAATTGTGTGATACGACAATCTTATTGGGGTTATGCCCCAGCCCCCTCCCCCCTTAGTTAGCCCCCTCCCTATCTGTAGTTACTAACAAATCTTCTATTCTAATATTTATTGAAACAATAATTTTAGATGACGATGTTCCAAATCAATGCTCTAGTGTTGGTGACCCTGGCTTCCTTCACGTAAGTGTATGTAAAGGAGCTTCTAACAAAATGATCAAATAAAAAGGTTCCATATTCTTCATTCATTGATCTGAACTTTCTCTAATCCTGACCAATATATAACTTGTCATACGTTGTATGACCCGCCTGTATCGTCAGGACGATAAAGGTGAAATTGAAACGACCGTGGGTGTCACAACGTGATACAATATATAACAAAGTTTGCTGAACTAAAAATCATGTACTCCCAGGAGCGCCCAGATGTGTACGTTCCCTAAATTGGATGTGGGAGTGTGTGACAAGGGTTTCCTGGCGTACTCCCCTCAGAGGTTCACGACAGAGGAGAGGTTCAACCCTGGTCAGTTCATGTTGGAGGCTAGTTCCGAAGCAGGAGGGGAGGGCAAGTGGTTCTATGAGTCCAGAGAGAGACTAGGCAAAATTGTCAGCGTGAGTTGAATCCTATTTTTAGTTTTATTAGTTATTTACTGCAGAGTGCAGGATAAAGTGTAAATCAGCTCCTTAACATGGGAATACTTATAAAAAGCTTTTATTTCTTAAACACGGGGGTAAAGTGACAGTTTCCCGTGGGTCTACATGTCATGACAATTACACTGTGGTTACCGACATGGTGCTCCAAGGTGGAGTTTGATTATCAGGTGATCTTCAGGTGAAGAGGAAGTTTAAGAGAGCAGGGGAGGAGAGTTACGAAGAGACTGGAGACGAGGAGATCCCTCACAGCTACACTCTGAAGATCAGCAAGAACAAACTAATCCCAGGTTGATATTCAGGCAATTATCCCGGCCGGTAGTTATAATGAAATACATAACACGTTACAATGTAGCGTGTTATGTGACGTGTTATGTGACGTGTTATATAACTAACTAACTACAATGTTAGGTCTTATGTAACTTACATTATAACCTTACTTTGATGTTGTAGTTTACAATGACTGGAGATTGAATTTTAGATTGCCTACAAGGTCACTGCCAAAATCTTAATCGTCCTTTCTTTCCATGATCATGATTTGTCTTATTTAACTGAATAATTACTAACTTAATTTAATTAGTTAACTGAATAATTACTCCTCCAGGTAAATACATCTACAAGACTGACGTTGGCAAATCCTGTGCATTTTTCGTCTACTAGACGACCAGACAGAGATGAAGATTACACATTACATTTTCATCACGTGATGTGGAATATATTCAGTATTTGTGTTGTAGAACTGCTATTTTAAATCATTGACAATTTATTTCATGTTTGAATTTGAAACAATGGCGAGTGCTTGAAATTATTTATTTATCTAAAATTTGTGTGTTTGTTAAATAGCTTACAAGTGTCACCCCTCAATCCTCGTTATTCATACTATTGCCTATTTGAATTATTCAAACCATACAAATGAGTTTACTATTCTGTAGGCATACATTTCAAATATCTCAATAACATAATAAATGTATTATTAAGATAATGTATTATTAAAACACGGTCTTCTCTTTAATCGGGTGTGGTTTAAAGAAGCTGCCAAAACAAACGCGGAAGTTAACATCAGGCCATACAGTTGCGGGACAGTGCTCATTGCACTGTTATTAATAATTTGGGAGCTCAGAGGATTTAACACATTATGTTTTGTGTAAAAGTCTCCCACATGCTATATCGTACAAAATGTGTACACTCAGATGAAGTCACATAGTGATTGCATTTAATTTTGTTCGGGGTCGTTAATTGTTATCTTTATTTTCTTTTCTTATCTGAAAAGTTAGCGTTTAAAATCTTCTGATTTTCTCCCCAAGATTATAGATTTCCGCTAGTTTTGTCGGCCGGGGTTTGGTTGAAATCTTCAGCTGAACTATGATATGAGATGGCTAGTTGTGCTGCTATCATTAATTTTGTGTATCCGTTCCGGCAAGTCTTATAGGTGCAATGAGCAAAAGGAGTAAGTTCAAATCTGAAGGATTTTTTTGTTTATTTTCCGTAATGATCTGCAGTTTAGTTTAATTAAAGAAATTTCCTTACCAACCTTAACCATTTTCTTTATGCAGAGATGCATATAATGTGTTAAACTGAAAACACAGATGCTAGAAAGATTCTGACGGTTCAAAATGTAATTATCTCGATCTTCATACCTGATATACCATTGTTCAACACACTGCGCTGGAGACACAACCACAAACTCATCCGACATTCAGCAAGTATGGTTACAGATCTACACGAAGCCACTCACCACAACCAGCCAGACCACCACTCAGAGTTATGTCATTTTGGTGACTGTCTTAATCAGAGTTTTTAAAATCACCACCCTCAGGTGCTACCCTGAACATTTGAATTATATAGATTTAATCGTCACAATGCATCAGAAATACTACCATAAACCGACCTGATATTAAACAAGTATGCTCACTATAATCAACACAAAACCACAAACAGACCACCATTGAGGATCACACCACCCACCGACCACCACTTGAAGAATCACCTTTAATCTCATCACCAGGTGTTCGGGAACTGACCAATGCTGCAACACTCGGAGCTTCTTCAACATCTGCTGTCCCCAAACCAGCACGTGCTGCGCCAACGGTCCCCGGGCCAAGTGTTGTGGTCCTCTAGACTCCTGCTGCGCTAACCACAAATACCGGGGGGTTGCTTGCTGCCCCTCTAGATACAGGTGCTTCCATCTTATTTCTTGGCAAGGGAGAGAGGGACCAGAGTGCACATTTTCAGAAGCATGTAATATTGTACGTTGATGTCATAATCAAATTCTACCCGCCAGAAATACAACGGCTATTTTGTTGTTAGCTATCGAATTTGACGTGGTAGTCGAGGCAACGGCTTTCTGGCTTTTATATTTGTTTATATTTGGCAATATCAATGATATGACCAATGATATGACCACTGCAGCTTATCGCAAATGTTTTCAAACTTTTCCATGTCATCTAAAACATTCATCCAATCCTCGTTTTATTTCATTTTATAAAATATATTAACCTTACTTTTATTTTAAAGCTTCTGTTTTCTTCATATGACTTTATATTCAAGTTTCACACTTAAGTGTGAAAAGTCAATGTTGAAAAAAAAAACCACCTAAAAGAGTAAAAGAGACGGGCCACTCCATCCAAATTTGGGCTTTTACTCGTTTTTTGCCATGCATTAAATCAATGATCGCTTGGTCATTGCATATTACATTCGATGAGCCTTGAACAACTTATTCAATAGTTAATTAGTTAATTAATTAATTAATTAATTAGTTAATTAGTTAATTAATTAATTAATTAATTAGTTAATTAGTTAATTAGTTAATTAGTTAATTAGTTAATTAGCTAATTATCTAATTAGCCACTTAACCGGTCAGATGTTGCGGAGCGGGTCGGTACGGAGGGCTCCGTAATGCGTGCTGCTACAAAGTACCAGTGTGGTTGTGGATTATTATGGGAATATCTCTCTCGTCTATCTTGCTGATGTTACTGCTGTCACTTGTTGAGTGTATGGTGGAGGAACAGGCTAACAGGACGCCAAGTAATCGAGATAGCTATGGTGAGTCGTGTGTGATTTAAGATAAATACCCGTATTACTTAGCCCTGGGGTTTATTATTATGATTTGACCTCACACAATGGCGTAACGTTGCCTGTTGGCGCCCCCCTGTTGGCGCCCCTCCCTAAAATTGAACAAATTAGGTGATTTTAGAGGATACGCCGGTAAAATCTCTAAAAAAGTGTGTATCTAGAGCAAAACGCACAGTTTTGCTAGTACTTTAGTTAAGTTTTCGAAATTGTCCCACATTCAAACGACGATTTGGCGCCCCCCTAAGACGGCGCCCCCCTGCACAGCGGGGTCAGCAGGGCCCTTTGTTACGCCACTGACCTCACATATGAATAATTCTATCAAATTCCACCCTTATTAGGGAACGCTTACCACGACAACCCACACGACTACGGGACGTATAGTAACTACAACAGTAACGACTTGTACAACGAACCACGTGGTTACACCACCCCTCCACCCTCCTACACCACCCCACCTCCCAACTACGACCAGTCAGTCACCCCCAACAGGACCACATCTAACCAGGGTGGAGGTGGGGTACAGCGGGGTGAGACACAACAACATGAAGCGACAGACAGTCTCGATCAGTCAGATTTGAGTGGGGTGTTGGCTGATGCTGAGACCTCCAGGACTGATACGGAGGGAACTGATTTGGAGATGTCAGTGTCGCTGAATGAGTCACATGATGTGTCACGCGACACATATGAGGAGTCGCGCGACACACGTGATACACGTGAGGAGGCAGGGCTGGTGTCTCCGTTAGGGAACATGTGGGACAGGTACTTGACAAGAAAACTAAAAAGGAGGAGTAGAAATTCTAGAGACGGTGATAAATCTGGAGAAGAAGAACAAAGCACTTCAACTTATTTTACTGGGTGAGTGAAAGTCATAATATTCATTTACCGAGTTCTCTAAATTCAATATCTAACATCAAAATTGAAAGGTATGTGTATCGGGAACCCAAACTAATTGTGTGGTATTTTTATGAAGATTTGTGCGATAGTACTAAATCATTGATTTTCCGATTCGTTAAATCATTACATTCAAAAGTGTAATGAAATAACGATTAACGAGTAGGAAAATGTGATTATTATATATATATATGGTGTGAAATTTAATTAAATTATGACACTAGGACTGGGTCAACAGTGGAACAAGGTATTTATATGAACAAGGTAGGTATTTGTACTCTATCAAACGATCCTAAAATCTGTGTAGCATTGTTTAGTTTGGAGGGAGTCACTTTTATCCTGTTTATAGGTCTTTCATTGCACGTACACGATAGACATTCTGACATTCGATCACCGCCCTAAACGGGTATTCATTCTCTGACATTGGCACGTTATTCTCTTCCTCTTTGATAGGGTTCGGTTATTAGTTTATGAATAAATAATGCACATTCCTTCACAGTTCACACTTCCTAAACTGTTGAATTAGGTTACATTCCTCTGGTATCTGGGTTACTCTTTTAATTTCTTTTACTGTTCTACTTCTAACTTTTAATCTTTATTATACGTTAATATTCTTTGTAAACATTTTATTACATTGGTAACTATACACAATACACTTTATACCATGCACAAATAAAACTTGCTCGGTTTTTAATACATTTTGAAATAATTTTTGAACGCCTTTCAACTATGAATTATATTTCAAACGTTCGAATTGAACTTCAAACGACTTTGTTTTAAATCGAACCATCTTGATATAGAATTCAATTTCCATAATGGTAGGAAGGTACCTGTCTCCATTTGGCTCCTCCCACATTTTTCTGGGCGGACTGTAAATCATCGTTTAGGCTAACAATAACTTGTGGCAGTAAATTTCTCATTAGTGACAGAAATCCCATGTTGCTTAACCTATAAGATCGCCTGATGACAATAATCCAGCGCCTATAATCTAGACAAATAAGCCATTTATTCATTGTATTAGACTACAGATAACTGTCCGGGGTGAGGTTTACTCAAGTTACAACTGACTCCTTTACCGGTGTAATTGCCGACAGGAACCAAAGTTATTCATATCAATACAATGACGGGCATGTGTAAGAAATTTTGTACGAAGTTTGACTAAGTTAAAACTGCCCAATCTACTGTCAATACTGAGCCGTACACGCTAGAAAGTTCTACAATTCAGAATTATCGATGTAACTAGACAGATTATGTTTCCTAACAGTAACACTCCTCTCACTCCTCAAATTCCACCTATCATAAACCTCAACCACCTTGTTGTTGTAAATACTCAGCCTTTCGTAAATCCTCACGTAGAATCCGGATTGGCAAAAGAAATAAAATACATACACAACCACTATAGTAACTGCCACGGCAGCCCTCGCTGGTGTTTTCTCATCTGTTTCAGCGTGAAGAAGATGACTTATGGAGACGAAACATACAACCGTCATAATCAAATTCAATGTCACTATCACGATGTACTTTGTCTTCTTAAGCTTCAACATAGGATCGGCTTCCCACAAATTCCGTGGTAGCTCCACAGTTGTAACCCGGAACAGGAACGAACATCTCGGACATCTTCCCTTGTAGTAGGTGTTCATCCAGTTGATCAGACAGGGGGATGAACAAGACCTTTAGTTTGAGAACACCAACATGGCTCTATGGTGGGTTTACAGCTGCTGGGGTTCTTGCAGAAAATGCAGGTCCAAAGGATGTGAGATTTTGAGGTGTCATTTTCTTGGTCCTCTATCAAAGAGTTAGTGAGTTCTAAGACTGCCGTGTCATTTTGCTGCTGGGTTTCTGCTGCAATTTCAGTGTCAGCTTCAATAACCTTGTCATTAACATCCATCGTCAAACACTAAAATAAATGCAGATAAATATATATATATTATGTTTATTATTTACGTTTTAACAATTTCATTGAAATCGAAACAGGAATGATGCCACCGAATAAAACAAAATCTAGAGAACTAGTTCATAGCTACTTACTCAATTAAATAACCTGTAATTATCTTATGGAGGATTAAAATAGCGAATCAGACGGCCAAGTTAATAATACGCTCATAATGAAATCTATCAAGAATCAAAATACAGTCAACACGCGATTCTGTAACATATTTCCCAGAATTGTAAATGCGTGATTTGTACGTGGCCTGTTGCTGCAAATTTAAACGTGGTCAGGTCAACAGAAGCTCCGAGAATCTTAAACATTTTTGATGATCCGAGAATCTTCAATGCTCAATCTATATGCAATCTAACAATGGAGATTTACAATGACCAGATTTACCATAGTTAAAGGTCTGTTTATTTCTCGAGGGTAGATCTATGGGTTCTGTAGTGTTTTGTCTACACAACTACACAACTATAGTATATTAGTGGTTGAAAATGTTGAAATAATTTCGGTATCACCTTAAAAATGGAATCAAATCGATATGATTTTGAATCATTTTACTCAATTGCATCGTAGCCATCGAGTGCACCGTAATCTAACAAATATCTAACTGACTTGACTGAGCACAGATTAGCAGTTTTATTGACAGTCTAACTTCAGTCTAACTTCAGTACGACATCACAGTTGACACTAGACAGTGGGATAGCTGGCGAGGCTATCTGTAGTGATAGTGACAGTTCATTTCACTGCAGCTCTTGGGAGGACGAGGAGGAAATTAGACAGGGGAACTCGGTACGTGACGTCACGTACAGAAGGTCACGTGACCTTCTGTGACTTTTTATGTTTAGATTGACTTACTTTAACTATAGTAAGTAGATTGACTGTTCACTCTTTGTGTGGCTGTTTCTGATATTTTGTGAGTAGTTATTCATAATTATATGTCCAGACACTTTAATTCATTAAATTTTATCCAAGATTGTTTACGAGTTGAACGGTAAGAAGGGAGTCACAAAAGTACCTCGACTACAAAATCTAGTTCAAACGGACAGACAGACAGACACACAAACAGATGCACAGACAAACACACATGAAGACAAGGAAAAATACCATAAACATGTTAAATAGGGACATGTGGGTCGCGGGGTTATTCTCAGACGTGACTTTACTAAGTTAATGAAGCTGAGATAAAATAACTTCAGAGCTTGGGAATTTAAGGGAGGGTATTTAAAATTTTACTTACCACTGATATGACGTGTTTTACTTCATACTGTCTGTTAATCTGCCTATTTGTATCTTGATATTATCAATGATAGTATATCTCTTTATAATTTGCACCCGAAACCCTGAAACGGAATCGTATATTATCGACCCAAGAACATTAAATCAAAACATAACAAACAAATCTAATTGACCATATAACGCGTATTTAGTTAGATGAGTTAAAACTACGATGTGAAACAAAGAACGTCTCGCACGTAGAGAAGAGGTGGAAAAGATCTGAACAAGAACTGAAGAAAAAGCTGAACTGATATGCAAAATGGGCTGCTTACTGTAGTTTTATCTCTCCTTATCTTTCAGGTATGCAACTATGTAAAGTTTTAGTAATTGTTGCATGGACTCGTATTCAGTATTGAAAATTGAAAATTTGTTTTCTATTTGTTACTGATTTTTATTTTCAGGCTGCTGGATACAAATGTAACAAGGGAACGTGAGTTTACAACTTAATAATATTCCCATATCTGTACATTTTAACTTATATTTATCTACAATCTTTATTCAATATATTATGAATTGACCTAAACATATAGTAATAACTTTATAATGTGACCACACCCACGTGACTCATTACATGACACGTGACTGCACTGACACGGTTACAGATGTAACGAGACGGACCAGTGCTGCAACACGCAGAGCTTCTGGGGTAACAAGTGCTGCCAGGCTTCAGCCCAGTGCTGTTACCACCATAGCTGGACCGCATGCTGTGGACCCCTGGACAAGTGTTGCTGGGGGTACCATTACAGAGGGGTGTCGTGCTGTCCCCCCGGCTTCAGATGCTGTGGTGTAGGCAGGATGGGTAGGAGATCTGGGTGCTGCTGGATCACTCCCTTCTGGATATGGTAATTTGTAGTGTGACTGGTGTCTTGAGGCAGCAATGCGGGTCGGGACTATCACATACTTAGACAAGACCCTCAGAGCAGACGCGATATTAACAGACATAAAAGACATGACAGTTGAATCAGCATACAACAGCTAGACTTTCTCTCCTTGCATTGGTCAAAACCAGACTCCACAGAAACAATCAAACAGTATTAGACATACCCCTTTCTCACGACCACCCTCCTCAGATGTCCCGCATTTCCGGGGACAGTGTTCAAGTGCTGCAACCCTCACATCAACTCGGGAGTGTGCTGCCCCCGAGACGGCACCTGCTGCTACCACGGCACTTCCAACCACTGTTGTAAAGCCAAGGAGTCCTGTTGTTGGGACAAGGCTAAGGATGATGTGAAGTGCTGCCCTAAAGGAAGCGTGTGTTGTCCTGATCGGTCCAGACACGCTTGCTGCTTCAAGACACCTGTCTTTGTTTGGTAATGATTATGTCTGATTTGTATGCTCTTTTAGAAGCATTCGTGAGCAACTGCTAAAATTTGATAAAAGGGGTGCAACGACTGGCGGCCAATCGAAATCAACACTACTATTACCAGTACCTTTCACCAAAGACTGTCCGTTCAGCTAGTAAAAGCTAGTCGCTGCAAACCTTGTCACCCCTCAAATAAACAAATAACTGACCTAACAGTAAGATGTTCCAGGATTCTATTGGGGATCTGCGGGTCAGTTATAGCGGCCCTGCTGTTATTGTCCCTGTACCAGTGCATCCAAGAGGAGTACAGTGAATACCAGTCCCAGAGAGTCGCTGGTAATCTCCCGTCTGATAATTCCTGGTACTACTACGACTACGGTCAGTGATAGGTTCAAACTTTTAGTAGCCAGCCTCTTGATTTTAGTGGCCGGCCGTTTTGAATCCAAACAAAGGAATAAAATTGTTTTCGGGTGATTCATGCTAAACTGTTATTTATAATTCAGGCAGCACACTGACAAGAGACCACAGAAACTCTTCCGCTTCCCGACAACCTCCAGAGTACGAACCACCACCCTCTTATGGTAGCACTAGCAACACACCTGGTAACCATGGTAACCCTAGTACCACCGCTAACAGTAGAGCAGGAGGGAATGCTCCTAAACCAGCCACCCCGCAGAACACCAGAAACAATGCTTTATCTATGGTTAGTATACTTCTTTATCACCTGTAGAACTATTTCGCTCAGACTCGACTTTTTATTTGAAATGTTTGATAGAAATTGGTGACTAGATTAATATAAAAGACAATACAAACCGTCATCTATTTTTCTTCAGCAGGGAGCAGAGAGTCGAGGGACAGAATATCACAGCTCAACAAGTCATGTGCACAGCTCAAACAGCGACTTTCACAGCCTCACCAGTGAAACCTATTCAGGTGATTAAAAAGAGTGCTGGACTCTACAATCACATCTGACTTTATGACTCTTATATTAGCTCCTAATGACCATGTCATATCTTTACGACCCTAATACTCTAATATGATCCCTGGCTCAATAATCACGCAGATCTCCAGCCAAGACCAGGTGATGAGATACTGAGGACCTTCTACGAGCACTCAGTCCCCAAACTCCAGAGGATGCTGTGCTCCCAACACCAGTGCACGGTTACTGACGGTAGTTGTGTGTACTGTATGGATAACATTAGTGATCGGGAGGAGTTTTCCGAACTTGAGGTTAATGCCCTTTCCAATGTTTTGTTAGTTTAAATTAGCTCGTGAGTTATCACTTATCGTTATATCGTATTGCGCGTCAACAGTCCAACATCAACTGTGCTATTACAGCTGTTGTGCAAATGTTTTCAATTTGTTATGAAAGTATACCTGTTACTGGGAGAATAATTCCAGGTGAGATGGTCTTTATGCACCGTCAACAAATTCTTCATTATCAATTAACTACGTGAATTGAAAATGATAAATTTAGATATTCGTTCGCAGATGAACAATTATGATCGATCGTCAATTAAATAGACCAATTTTCAGGAAAGTTCACATCAAGAATTTCGTAACGATTCTCAGCAAGATGACGAAAGCAAAAACAAGACACAATTATCAGATAAAGTTAACTTTAAATCAAGAGTTTCATACCAGAATCAGCCAAAAAAGGATATATTGAATGCACATAATCAACAAAATCTGTTACACTGAAACTTTATCGGCTATAAAACTACAAAACTTACAAATTTGTATATTTACATAAGATAAAGGGAAAAGATAATAATATTTCTTTATAATTGCACCCTTGTATTTCGTCAGATTTTGTAAATATAAATTGGAAACCTTACACTTGTTATATAAGATTGAGAAGAAATGTTATAATTTATATCGTGTGAATTTTAGAATGACCACAAATAATTGCAATGAATCTATTATTTTCATATTATGTCGATTGTCGATTGCTCCCTTAACTGATTATTTAAGCTTGAATCCGATTCCTTCTTGATAATGTACGGGTGGGGAAGCCCCAGATAAATGTAGTCGTTCCTTGAATCATCCAAGGTGTATAAAACTGTGAGTGACTCACGCGGTGAGCCATTAAAGATGTATAGACCAGATTATACACATAAATAGATATAACTGCGACATGCACAGAAGTAATAAACTTCGATGGGTTCATCTGATTAGCAGCTAATTCCAATGACAGGGACATTGTTGCTTCAGGATATCCCCTTCCTCGTTTAATACTTTAATAAGTGAGCAGTTGTATAACAAGAGGGCACGCCCCAGGGCTGGTGCTATGAAATGTCCTCGTCTGATAAGATATCTGACATGCCGGAGATCAGCTCACCGGCCATTGATAGAGTTTCTCCTCCCACTGACACTGACTCAGTGTAACCTGTAAAATTGTAGTCGGTTAGTGAACATGATTAAGTGTAAAATTTAGACCAGGTTATTGATGAGTCATGAACAGTTATTAGATTGATCACCAAAATAAATTTACCTATTACAGCTATGATAATATGTCACATTTAAATGTGTAAAACAAGCGATTCCAAGGAAAACTAACTGTGGTTATGATCTCTACTCTTGTTATCTTTGTAGGTGCTTGTGTCTGACATTTTAGAAATGTCCAGACTTTTATCCAGAGATATGTCGTCATCATCGTCAATGTCATCGTCAATGTCATCTGACAGCAAGCTCAGATCCTCTGAAAAGGTAAGTATTACAGCTGTGGCTGTGGGGGAAATAAATTTTAAGTTAGAAACATTTCATTTTCGGCTAATCTACGAAACAGATAATTCTTCGAAGCTCACCAAAAGATATGTCTAGTTCATCAAGAAGTCCTTTCGTATTATTTTTGCCAGTTTTCTGACGCGATTTATAGTCTGCCGTGTAACTAGACCCTCTAGTTGCGGAACTGCCTCTCAAACCTGAAATTTGCAAAGATAGAAAATGCTCAGCTGGCAGCTTTAAAGATTTAGCAACAGGATCACAATCCATATTATAAGCGTACTTATGCACGAAATTTCCAGCAAATTTCTAAATTGCTTTCCATGCTAACTTTGCTTGCTAAAATGCAGCTTGACTGGCAACGCTGCCACAGTTTCGCACGGACTTAAAATCAGGGTCAGAAATAGAAAAGATTAAACTCACTGCCCGGGGTGGCTGATTCGTTCCTAAAAGGTGTACCACGACTCACACTACCCTCAAGTGAAGATAGTCGACCCTCTAAATCACAAACAGAGGACCTGAAAACAGGAACGTGACAAACCCACATGACATAGTGCATGCTGTGCGCAATTTCTTTATGTTTCACTTACTGCTAACATTTCAACTTTAGTTATACTTTTGTCAATGCGCGCGGCAAAAGAGAAAGCTTAAAATGTGACCGCTAATTGTGCCCTGTTTTGCAGGATAAAAGGTCTACAATTTCAGACTTCCGCAATGCAATACATTATACAACAGTTTAAATATCCATTATTAAGGGGCAAGGTACCCTGCATCCTTTAATTACGAACTTGAGAATGGGTAAATGAGCGCAATTATCATTTAATGACTGTAATTGAGCGCTGGTTGATCTGCTCTGAAGACGTATTGTCTCTGAGAAATGAGAAGCCTCGCTGTTGATCCGCTGACATTTCCGTAAACATTCCTTACTGTCCGAGATTGCTGACTTTACTTCTAACTCTACTTGCACTGAAACGAAATGTGTCACGGATATTGGATATCAGTCCCGTCAATACAATTAATTACATGCTAATTGGAAATAGGGAACCTGTTCAAATAACAACATTTCACTAACATGAAAGAGATATGGTGGTAGTAGGGAAACATACGAGTTAACATACCTAGCCTACTTCTCAGTTTCTCCAGATCATTCTTTACTTCTTGGAAATCTTCTGCCTGTCTTAGCTTCCTGAAATGGAAAGAACATAGTTTACGCTGATTACTAACCAACAAACATATAATGTACACTCAAAACGGAACAATTTGAACCATGATATGACCATTAAATTGGAATACTAATACAAGGAGTCACTTTCTGCTTATTTTGCTGTAACGTCATATTAACATATAGTGTATTGGCTATGCCCCGCTTACTAGTTTAGCTCTTTCTAGTCCCCTGCTACACGGCATGTAAACAGGGATTGGCTAGTTAGAGGCGGTCCGTGTAGGCCTTACACTGTGCTTTCAGCAATACTCATACATCGGTGTCAGTCTTATGCTTTAAATGCCTTACAAGCATAATCACAATATGAAATGCAATTTAAAAACGAATCAAATTGCGATCATAACTCTACTCGTTTGACACTTATATTGCACTCATCAGTCGCCAAATGACAAAATGAATGCTGTCACCCGTTAAAAACGGTTATCCAAAGGCATGTCTTTCTAGCTTCATCTTATTGAGCTACATCACTTACGGTATCAGATATGTGATGTGACAGTATGTTGTGACAGGCTCCCAATAGACAATAAACTTTAACAAAGATTACTTCATATAACATCATAAGTATATCAGCTGACAGTTTAAACCATATATTACATTGATAGTAATGGGACAATAATGATGGAGTATAACACCAAACAATCACTCTATTGTGTTATTTACAGCCGGATAAAAGTTGGTACCAGGTTTTCTTGGCTGCCAGCCAGCGGCTAGTCATATGATTTTCTTGCAAGTCACGGAGACTTATTCTTTTGTGTCAAGGTAAACTGTGGAATCCACAGTTTACCTTGTGTCTGTTGAACACTGTTTATACGTGACACGTGAAAATTAAGACAAAGAAACTGTATCGTCTCATTTCTCAAGTACTATATTACCTCATTTCTCAATCAACCGTTTATAGTTTGTGCGAATTTGTAGCAATAACACCATGAAAAGCTCGATCTTATTCAAAAGATTGCTATGTGTAATAATACTGGTACAAGTACAAACTCGGTTCCGGTTTTATACGACAGCATCATTTCATACGACCATATCACCGCCTCTAACAACGAATAATTCAGACAACAATTCGGAAGACCCGAATTCACATCTTAGAGAAGTAAGTGAGTCAACCAAAAACTTACAAAATCCCACAATGGATGCCAAAACACCGACAAACTGGACCGCAAAACCAGGGAGGGATGTAGAAAAGAACACAACATCTGGAGGTCCAGTCTTAGAGCAGCACACATCTCCAACACAAACTGAAAACTCCGCAGCCGAGCAATCGACAACACCCAAAATATTTGAAAAAAATTCAGAAAAGTTTGCACTTCATCTTCTTCTCCTCATTATTCTCATTGCTGGAACTGGTTGTCTTGTCTATACTTGGATTGGGCTATTGGTAAACAGATGCTATTCAATTGAAAATGTGTATGATTCCGAAATTGGGTCTGCCAAAGTTTCAAATTGGAAATATAGTATTTGATACTCCACTCATATTATGGGGCAAAGAATTAATAATTCTGCATGAAATTAACTGATTAAAGATAAACGAAACTGTGTCCATTTAGATGCCAAAGCGGTTTAATATTAAGTTTTCATCTTGACTAACTACAACTTATTTTAATTTCTTTATGTTATAAACGTTGTCTGCACAAGATCAAACAATTTTTGTTATGAACTAATCATTTGAGGGCTTTTTTGCTGAGCCAAATTTGATTTACATCCCTTAAACACTTTATACGAACACTTAATACTGGAAACTAAGAATAATTTGTTAAATACATCAGGAACATCCTCGTCGTCTCTGACTGTAATAATGTGTTCATTCCTATTTTGGTTTGTGATCACTTGAAATGCTGTCACAAACTGATAATGTTCAGTGCTCCAAGTTTTAATTAACACAATTTGGTCTCACGATATAAAATAAACAGGGAAGACGATCACCGAATTTGATTGATGCCTTGCGTCAAGGATATCAATCTTGCTAAATCTACGAAATAACAAAGTAACAACAATATAATATATTACGAGACTTACCCGTTATCCACGTCTTTTCTTATAGATGACAGCTCCTTCTCAATATATCCACCAGAGCCTGTGGAGTTTCCAGCATCTTGTTTAACACGTCTCAATTCTGCCATCACTTCGTTTTTGAACTGAAACAGTGTCAGAGAATAAAAAATAATACCATTTATATTTATATTTCCAGATCCCCAAGTTTTTAACGCGTTCATTTTTTAAATCAGGAAAGTTAGTAAACATTGATTTACACTAAAAACTCAAATCAGTAATTGACAGCAATTTTAAAATTCTGATGATGAACCTTATCAAACTCCCTCCCCACATCTCGACCGGAGACAGGCGAAGCGGTCTGCTTATTTTTCAGGGACTGAACTTGTGATTTCAGCAGCTTAGTTTCTTGCTCGTAGTGAACGTTGGATTGCTGGAGTAATCCGATCTGTTTTCTAAGGGTCAGAATCTCGCTTTCCTGCTGCCACAACTGTAAAAATATCAAGTACAATTGGATATCAAGTACAATATCAGAGTATAAGAATTAATCTCATCGACAGTCGACACAATTTATCTGTCTGACAATTTAAATCTATTAAAGTATTAAGAAACGTCGCCTAAAAATAAAACCGATAGATTCTTGCCTAAATCTAATGTTAGTTATTTTGTCCTTACCTCTTTGTGACAGCCAGCATCAATAGAAGGGCTGGAAAACTTGACAGCCTTTCCTCCTCCGCTCCCATTCTCTCTACTGTACCCAGAGAGTGAGTGGTTAGCAGTATTACGAGTAGGTGTTCTGTAGTTTGTAGAGTTTGAGGACAATTTGTAGGGAGTACTGTTTGTGGGTTTGTAGGGCGAGGAAAGTTCTAGAAGAATGTTCCGTTCTGGTGGTTTGTTTTCTGTAGCTGTTGGGGTGCAGGTGGTCACGTGATCATTATATGGTCATTAAACTATCAAACAGGATAAATTGAGATCGCTCGAAAGCATGCCTTATCTATTTTCTTTACTGATATCTCATTTCGTTACAAGACCTGTTAATGAATATCAGTTTTACAATTTGTCTTATTATGCAATTAATACTACAATAGGTAAGAAAGCAACTTACCTTTATATTTAGTTGGTGTTTGTTGGAGTGTACCCTTAACTTTAGCCAAGTTTCTCTCCGTCTCCCTGACAACAGCCTCGAACCGTTGCTCCCAATCCTCAGTACTCATCAGTAATAAGTAATTATATAATTACATAATTAGTCTAAGAAAGTGTGAGGTGTCAGGTGCTGGGTTGCTAATAGGTCCTGTCACTAGTAACTTGTCAATATGCTAACATTATGCATTATACGTGAACATTTGTCCCGATCTGAGATCAGTGCAAGATAAAAGCATGGTTTAGTCGCACGAACTGCGATGGTAGCTGTTTCTTCACAAATAAATCCACTCTACCCGTGAAAATACAGTTGGTTTTATTGTAACATAAAAATATTATAAATTACATTTCACTAGAAATAGATTTCAAAACTTCTGTCAAAACGACAATTTTATTTACAAGTATAATTTAACGAGAAAATATGCATCAGAAATACATCAAAAATTGGAATGAAATAAAATACATCGTTTATACCTCACTTATATCATGAACCAATATTATGAACAACAAAATTTGCTGATGTCAAAGCCGCAGTCCAGGTGAAAAAATAAATATTAGAACGCACACGAAATAAATAATGAAAAGCATCACATTTAGCCATATTAAAATAACGACAAAATAAATCAATTCCAAGAACTTTCTTATATAGAGACAAGTCCTATAAATCCATATGATAACAGCAAATTAATTCAAAAATGAATAAAAAGATTACGTGCCTTTTTTCAGCACAAATATTCTTGAATTGGTTAAATTCTCCATATCATTATGTTTTCTCTTAAATTCTAGATAACAGATTCTCAAACGATCGGTTCTAGAGGTGAAATAGATTTATGGAGAATCGAGATAGATCCTGCAACAGGTCCCCAGATTAAGCGTCTGATGGCTCCTCTTCTGACTTCTCTGGAATTGGTTCTTCTGAAGGTACTTCTTCTGACTTCTCTGGAAGAGGTTCTTTTAACGGTTCCTCTTCTGACTTCTCTGGAAGAGGAACATCTGATGGTTTCTCTTCGGACTTCTCTGGAAGAGGTTCTTCTGAAGGTACTTCTTCTGACTTCTCTGGAAGAGGTTCTTCTAAAGGTACTTCTTCTGACTTCTCTGGAAGAGGTTCTTTTAAAGGTTCCTCTTCTGACTTCTCCGGAAGAGGAACATCTGATGGTTTCTCTTCTGACTTCTCTAGGGATGGCTGAGACTGTTGTAAGCTAGTGACACTTGCTGGAAGATCAGTACCATCGCTCTCTGGCTGAACTACTGGTTTGTTTTCAGCAAGTTGAGATTTCTCAGCAGATTTTTGGCTTTCCAAGCTGGATTGAGAATTAGCGTTTGCACTCTTCGTTAAGCTCGCTATACTTGATATTGTGGGATCAGGTTTAGTTGAACTGGTGTAGTCAGATTCTGTGATATGTAGATCAATAAAATCTCCTTGGTCCTCAAATTCCTCAATATCGACTGTCATTTCAAGCGGGTTCTGAAATAGACGTCTTGTAAAGACTGTGACAGTGTAATGATAAAAAATTTAAATTAAATTGTTGTTACAGGAAGCTGCGACTGCGTTAGAAACAACCGCAGCATACAAGAAAGTACAATTGGGAGGAATGAATTAGAAGTCACATGCAAGGATTATATTAGTACCTTATTGTGTTCAATTTGTTATTAAGATGTGCAGTGTATTGGGGTCCGTGCATTGTATTATTCATGGGACCGAATGTACCTCGAAGAAAGTATTTTTGTACTGTGATATTTAGAATTTTGGCTGCTCTATATTATACAAGTGTACATGTAGTTTTATCTTCAGAGTTAACAGAGGCACGTTCTTAGATCGAAAACTACATGCTCCACGACAAAGCTCTTGGGGTTCGGATTACATCATCTAGACTTACTAACCATACGTTTATTTATAAGTGACACCTGTATTTCTTTATATTCAAATTGGCTGCTGAATTAGTCCATAATAGGCCCCAGTATACACGTTCAGTGTATATTAATAGGCATTGGTAAGGCACACAGGCTCGGACCTAATCTATTCCTCACCGCTGTGTTAGATTTAGCGATCATAAAATCTGTGTTCAAGTCATCAACCACATTCGACATTCCAATATTCAAAATTGATGAAGTTGAAACAATTTCGTTTCTCACAACTATTTCGTTGCAACTCAATCGGCAGCTAATTATTACTCACCTCGCCAGTGCTGTCTCTTAACCTCGACATAGTATTAAGGTACACTGCCAGGAACTCCACTATTTCGTCGTGAGTCATGATTTTGTCTGGGTCTTCAAACGAAGACTGCGCTTTTAGCACTGCCTTGTTTATCTCTTTCAGGATGTTTTTCATCAGCGGTGGAACTTCTATTCTCAACATTTTGTTAAACTAGGAGGAGAGGGATGAGATTTTTGAAGACCTAATGAATAAATTTTCAATTTGCAGATAATTCAATTCAATTATATAATTTTGCAACAGGAATAAACATTCGATTATTTAGATATATAAAATGGTGCTTCTAATGTGTTGCAGGATGCTTCCTATAAGAATCCTGTTCTTTTGGTGGGGTAACCTAATTAAAGCAAACATTTATATTGTAATCATATATTGGGATGAGATCAATATCAGGGTGAGCAAAACACATTTTTACTCAAAAAATTGAATGATGTTACAATGTACACTTCAGCTTGCAATAACTCTGCTATAATACACATTTTTGTAGGTACATGTAGTGTGTAACATGGTAATTCTGCAGAACCTAAACCTGGTTTGTGGTGTACGGATGGAATTTTATATTTGCAGAAATTCTGATTGAGTAGCAAACAGGAAGAAAAATATAGAATAGTACTATTAGCATAGTACTACTACTGTAAACATAGTCAGTCTATACTATACTACCCTATTTTGATCAAACTCTTCACATTTGTTCAGTCAAGAGCCGTTTGTTCAATTTCTCTAGAATTTCGATAATTGCTGGTACCCTCAACTTTTGAAGTATCATGTTTGCAAACAACAATATTACTCTGTATGGAATACAGAATCAGACGGAGAAGAACTTTTGGATATGCTATCTCATAACAATATTGATGTCAGCTTTATTTGGAGACACCATCATATTGATTGCCTCGGCAAAGTATGATGCCTTCAAACTTCACAAAGTCATTATTGTAGTGCTTCAACATATGGCAGTTTGTGACTTGATCCTCAGCGTTTCCTATGTCCTTCCTACAATAATCTCGATGATAGCAGATAAGTGGATCCTGGGCGAATTCTTGGCCTACACTGTTAAAGGTTTCATATATTTAACTTACCCTATGAGCACCCTTTTAATTTGTGTTCTGACAACAAGTAAGCTCCTGATCTTGCGCTATCCTTTAAAATTCAAGACTTGGTCAAAAAAGAAGGCTCATTTGATCTGCACACTTTGTTGGTTACTGTCAGCTGTGAACCCCTTGATTGTTTTCATTAAGTCATATTATGACAATCATAATTTTATTTTCAACTATCAGACTTATGATGTCTACTACAAGAAAGGTAAGGTGACAGGTCTTATTCTTGGCTCTCTTTACTGCTTGGTAACTATAATCATAATTCTGGCAACAATTTTCACCCTTCGGTTTCTTCATAAGGCAAAAAGACTATCACAGAAAGTAAGGAGAGGAGGCACGATTCGCTGGCAAGGCATCTTTACTGTTGTGCTCACTGCAACAATCTTCTGCATCTCTACTATTCCATGGATAGTGTATGAAATGATGGAACCCTATGTGGAGGAGAACCTGACTGAACATATTCAGAGTCAACTTAAGAGAATTACTACTTATATAACAATGATCAATGTAATGGCCAACTTCTACATTTACATTTTTTCAGCTCCAAGTTTTCGTAATTTTCTTCACTCAATTATATGGTTAATATTTTCGAATTTTTCTTCATTAATGTCATGTAAACAAAACTCGGTAGCAATTCATCCAGAAAATGATCATGTTTGCAAGAAAACTGAACAGCATTCAGTTTGATATGCATTTAGTAGACAAATGAACAATGTGAAAATAATTGTTGTTATTGATGTATTGTGATTGACTAGTTATTAGTATTTCTTGGATGATGTTGAATTCAATTATTGTTTTTTAGATAAAATAAAATAAAATGGAATAATGTCACAACAAAACCGATCGAATAATCAACAATTACTCTTTATTATTTCCCCTTAAATTTTATTTGTCCCAGAATTGGAGCATCACACGTTTTGTCATACGTTGTATGTCCCGCCTTCACATAGCCATGTGTTGATTCACGATGTCAATCCTTCGCAGCTCGGTGAGGCACAGTGGTGCATCTCGCCGATCTACCGAGAAGCATTATTGGATGCGCGCGCGCGACCCAGTAGTGCATCGCGCTACAAAGCCATGTGTATATATGCGTACTGCGTGACGCATACTGCGGTCGCGCGCTACTGCAAGCGAGAGGGCTCTGGTTAGAGCAATGTCCCGCCTGTATCGTACAAACACTAGACACTATAGTGAAACGACAATGGGGGTCACGACGTGATACAACACAAATTATGTGACACAATGTCGCATTTAACTTAATTAGCCAATATAGCATTTTAATCATTAATGGTTAACAAAAATAATGTTATAATTGTAATTGTTACAGATCAGTAATCCAAATTCCAATCGATCAAATCCAGTTCAAATCCATTTAAAAATTGAAGCAATTAAAACAACTGGTGCAATAAAACTTGTAGCACGATACACTACTGGGCCGCGCCGCGCATCTTCTCGCAACCACAGTATTGATACATGTTTCGTATCCCAATATCAGAGATAATATTCGGCGGCGCGCGCTTTGCGCGCGAAAAGTGGCATGCAACGTATGTCAACCACAGTAGATCGGCAAAATGCACTACTGGGCCTTGCCGAGCTGCGAAGGATTTGTAGGTTTACAACCTACCAGGACGCGCGCCGAGTTGGACTCCTCGACGGTGCTCGTAATAATTGGAACAAATATTTTACTAGTATCACCCGTTAACGAAGGATTGACATCGTGAATCAACATTTCACATAGCCATGTGTCTACGCGTACTTCGGTGGTGGCGCGCTACTGCAAGCGAAAGGGCTCTGGTTAGAGCAAAATCAACATGAACAATAAAACCAATTTGAGCAATTACTTACCTGGGGACCCCTTGGAGGACTTCGCCGCTTCGACGCGCCGCGCGAACTAGCATTCTTGCTTCGCATCGAATCGTTGCTCTGCGAAGCAGAGCAACGATCTCGACGGATTGACATCGTCAATCAAGGAGACCCAGGCTATTATGTTCATTAATAGAGATTAGGCGGAATGACAGGCTGAGCGCGGCCCAGTAAATAATTACATGTTTTAAAGTAATCGGAGGTTGTAAAACAGTAACAATTTGAATTGAAACAATTAATACAATTATAATTAAAAACAATTATAATTAAACAAGAGGAAACTGAGTGGAAGAGGTGGCCAAGAAAAACATTAAAAACTCTTCAACTCATTGAGGGAAATAAGAAGCGTGTGAATTTTAAGAACCGACAGCAGATAAACAGAAGACGAACTGAGAAAGAAGCCAAAAGACTCATAAAGGACGGAAGTGTTGTCATCCTTGTGAATGAACCTGTCCCACCCGGGGCTGTGTGTGTACTTGGAAAAGGGTTGGGCTTTGTACCTACACCTTCTCTTGATGTTGAAGGAACAAGATTGGACATGCGTTTAACAACGAACAGGATCCTTCAGTCTTCAAATCAGTCACTTAACAGCAATGACCAGTTTGAAACCCCGAATCTGCCCCAAATACCACCAAACTCTACCAAAAATCATACTCAATGAAACTAATAAATCAATGAAACTAATAAATCAATGTTTTAGCTCATTTTACAAAGTCAAATATTTAAAACAGTTAAAATTGTATAGTGCTCAATTTGTAAATGACTAGTTGATCTTTGCTATTGGAAGTTTGTCAAGGACTGGCAGCTAGCGGGGCAAGGAATGCACGGGCTTAGGGGCTTTTGTGCACACCAGAACACTAGCTCGGTAGATTTTTGGAAACTAGAAGGACTGAAAACTAAAATTGTTTTTGATGGAGGCTGAGGCATGTTTTTGAGAGGGACGGTATAATAGCTTGTGGTAACAACTGGCCTTTACTTTAATAGGATGAAGTTTTAGTTTTAGGACAGGAAGAAGGCATTAAGAAGATTTGCTCTTTGTTTACAAGGCAGAATATAAGCAATGTTGGTTATAATATGTATCAATATCTAGATCTTCGTTTATCAATTTTCACTAAATGGGTTTAAAATTTTAATAGGGAGGGAAATTCATCAACTTTATTAAGTACCTATCAAAAATAAATCTTATATCAATGTAATATATTAAAAATCATAATCCTAAGTCTAATAATAAATCTGTTAAAAACACTTTCTCACTACACTGCGCTCACACACGTTAGTAAGACAAAGGAAAATGCACACCCAGCTAATTTTCAATTTCAAGATAATCATTTTGGATGTGTGGACCCTAGGGTAGACTTAATGTCAAAATTTAGATTAGAGCATTCGAAATCTTTGTTTGTCCAATCAAGATCAGCATGGTTATGCTGGTTGACGAGCAGTGATTGCTTCATCCTAGACTTCAGGCAGGCCACACTTAGACAGTAGTCACGTATACCAAGCTTAGGCACAATTACGTTCCAAATACGAGTCATTCTGCTATTGAAGTTGTCAGGGGGGTCTGCTTGGCTTAGTATAAGGGTGGGTTTCCTACTTGAGCAGGTGAAATTTTCATGGAGGGAAATCGGAGCACGGAATTTCATGATTTTATAGAGCTCAAGGAAACAATGGTAAGTGTACAGGTTTTGGACGGCAAGTATTCCGTGTTCCTTGAACAAAGGTTTCGTGTGCTCTTTCAAGAAAAATTTTTTGTTCAGATTTTGGTTGCCAAACGGTCGAGCACGAGCACAGGTCTTAAATTTATCTAGGTATGCCTCCCTATCGCCAAACAGTACCCTGAGACAATATTTTTGTGCTTTGAATACAGAACTTATACGAGTTTTGGCTGCCCCACCCCAAACCGTGATACAATAGGAGAGGTGTGATTCAAATAGAGTGTAATACAACTGGCGGTGTAAGAAATCTGGGAGGGAGCAGCGTAGGCGGCAGAGAGTTGATGTTGCATGGCTGAGAGAACGCCTAAGTGATTTTATATGTTCTTCCCAGGTTAGCTTTTCATCGATGACGACTCCCAGAAACTTAGCAGATGCAACTTGTTTTATTGGAAAGTTATCAATGGTTAGAGTATATTCAGAATTATTGTCAGTCTGGGAGGACGATGCTGGTTTAAAGTGAATGAAACAGCATTTAGACAAG